ACATACAGTTTATCGTTTCAAATTAAGAAAGAAACTTTTATTTCGATGCAGCTTTAAATCTTAAAGTTGGCAAATATATCAAACATGAAGCGTTAATGAGAAATAACATTCTGGAAGAAGGAAAAATAAAGGCAGAACAGAAGCGACGAAGCGTTGGCTCTGAAGCGGCCATGAATAATCCCGCCGTCAGCACCACGCGAGCTCGCTGCCCAATTAAAAACGTACTCTTTCCACGATTTTTAGCTTAGAATATTGTATAATAAGCCGATAAAATACCCCACTTAACGCCTGCGAGGGCCCGCCGGCTATGAAATATGCACTCCTCCCCTTATTACAGGGAGACGAAATTAAGTGCAAATGCTTCATTTTGGAATGTCACGTAGACTTTTTGATGAACATATTTTTAACTAATAAAATTAGAAACTTAAAGCTATAGTACAAAACAATCTTTAAACGTGTAGGGTAACAATAAAAAACACTGTTAGAATTTTCTTTTATAAGTTACCATTCGGTAAGAATATGGCGCATTCCACCAGATACTCCTGCATTATTAGTCAGTAGATACACTCTATTAACATAAAATCAATTTTACGTTTATAAAAGTTTTACTGTCGTACTCTTTTCAGTATTTCATTAGATGTATTTTCACCTCAATTCAATTGGCCTTAGGGAACAGAAAGCTAACAAGGATTTGTTAAAAGGTATACTTATTTCACCCCAGCAATCACGAAAGAATCGTCGGAAGCTTTTTCATCCATTCGTGGTAAAAAGTGGCCACTTAGATAAAGTCCCATATTAATATAAAAACTGTAAGATTAAAGTAAAGATCAGCATTCTTTCCTTTCGTTCTAATTTTAAACTTAGTAATACACAAAGTTTTGCACAACACATCATTTAAACCAAAACATAGAGGATAGCATGATGTTAAATAATTTTCTCAATTATTTTGAGGTCCAATGCTAAAGTCAGATTTACAATTAGTTTAATATTGCTAAGAAAAACGCGTCCAACAAAATTTCGTCTTTATTATTGGTTTGTGTATTTTTTAAATTACTCAATAAAATAATACGTAGGAATGCAGCAAAAATACTTTACTGTAAGATTTACATTTTAAGTCGTAAAAAATATTCTCAGATTCTTGGTACATGTAGCGCCATCTAGTAGAAACTTTATGCAAGTAATGAGTATTCTCGAGCGACGACACCACCGGTAAAAAACTTAAAATATTCCAGTAAAAGAGTCCGCTGTTGTGTATTTAGTTTTATGTTTTAGAATGTTTAATATCTCATCTATAAAAAATAATTATATGAAATATGTCGCATACAATAACTCAAAGATGGTAAGGACGTCTCTACATTATTATTACACTAAAATTAATGTTATCATAGACAGTAAAACAAAAGATCCGCGCTCCGAATCACAAACCTTTTTATTAATAAATGAATCAAAACAATCCGGGAAGTTACTATTATTTATTACCCTATCGGTTGAAAGCTAACGATCGAAAAAATTATGTTTGTTTTTGTAACGTCCCTTTTTTGGTGCTGAACAAGTGTTACGATATAAACATACGGACGAACGAATATTTGTGTAAATGTAAACAAATCGTAGTATTTCGCCTCCATCGGCCGATACGTACCACACAACGATGACAGATCATGAGAACATGTGATTGTTCATATATCTTTAAATTTTACAAAATTTTACAAAAACATCTAAACATTCTCACGTTCGATATAAATATTTTAACCAACAAAATGTTGTAATATCCGTTAATGAAATTATTCAAAGTTTAATATGAATACTGAAGAATATAAAGTTTTTTTTAACTTATCTACAAAAAAAAATTAAATATTTAATTACTAATTGTTGCTTTTTGTTTGAACGACCTTTTTCATTTTGATTTAATTTATTTTTAACATTTTGTTCTTTTCTAAGTAAATACAAAGTAAAACCAGAAATACCCTCCATATCTTTATCACCCTTGTTGATAACTATGTATGTAGTAACCTAAGTATGTAGTACCCGTATATTAATTACAGATTCGAACATATCTTTTTACCTCATTTCTTTAAACCTAAGCTCAATTCTACTCTTTAAAATAACTACGACCTATTAGACTATTTCCGAAGTAAAGACAATTTCTTTAAAAGCTACTAATATCTTTTTAAGAGGTCTTATCGACGAAGAAATACTAAACAAGGTTCGTCGTGAACATTATTTAGAAAAAAAAACCATAGAGTTTACTTGTTTCGAAAAGGCGGGTCGCTGCGGCATCAGATAACGCCAGATTTGCGGCCAGTCCATTAACAAATTACCTCTTTAAAGACCTTCACATAGAGTTCGAGTACTTATTTACATAATGAAACTGTTTTCTCACTATGAAGTAACTAGTAATTATTTTTATCGTACTGATTGGTTGGTTATTAGAATACGTATAACTCTTAACGGTTAAGTGTTTACTAAAATTACAATAAATAATATTAATATCTGTTTTATGTGTTCCCAAAAAGAAAACACTTATCATAGTTCTAATCGTCTTTGAAAAATGTTCACAATGTAACAATTAGAAGTAACTAACACAATCATTAGAAGCTTCTAGCTTCAGGTGTATGATGGAAAATAAACCAAGTTTTATTTGATTTTACATAGTATATCCAGTGGAATAACTATAGTGAAGGTTGCTTACTGGATATTGTGGCCGGAAAGGAGCTACCCAAGTTGAGATACATAAATTCTCTCTGACGTTTATTTTATTTCCGGGTAAATTTTTAACGAGACCTAAGAACTCTTTAGGTGAATCCCGCCGCGCTTCCTCCAAACTTGACCCCGTATGCAAAATTTAATTCAACATTCTAAAACAGAGCTGGAATAACATTTTAAATGTGTAGTTTAGAACTTTGATATTTTATAAAATATACTTCTAATGTAAACGAAATACAAAGGACATGACTCAAATTAATTATGGACAACTGGCGTTTATGAATCAAAGTCGGACTACAGTTTTGGTGAAGGTTCTTATAATTTCTTAATATGTCATTGTTTCTAACTTTATACCCTGTGATAAAAAATTGTTTGAAATTTGAATGCAAATTGTAACCTTAAACATACAGTGAAGTGCACTTTTAGCAGTCTTAGGCGTTGTTGGGCAGTTTACAAATCGGAAATTTTCATTTTTACCTAAAACAGAAAATAATTACCACAAAAAAATCACAGAGATTATACGCAATTTGTCGTTTTAATTATTCGTGAAACATAATGTAGTTAAGTTTAGTCGCGACGTCACTTCCGGTGGGCACGCACCGCGCAGGCGCAGCGCCACCGGAACCGGAAGTTGCGGTGCGACCGCACAATCTGGAGTTAGACGGCGGGAAACACTGAATCAAGTGCAGCCTCGCTTTCTGTTTTATATATGAGATTGTTAAAGATAAATGCCAACATTCTCATGTAAACCTATGCTCTACAGTTTCATTCTAGCTGAAGCTAATCCGGGCAGTAGATTATCTAAGCTTTTATGCACTAGGATAACGTAAATGTTGTTGGAGAAACTAATGACAGGTCCAGTCTTAATGATACAAAATTTTATTTATCAACTTAAATTTAGCTGTAATGAAATTAAATTATAAAACCGAAGTTCTGAAAATCTATTTTCTCTAGTGTCACATTAAATACAGAAAAATTAATTAATTTTATTATTCATGTTTCAATATTAAACAAGAGGGTCTGTAACACTGGCACATTAATCATAAATAATGTTATTTAGAAAATAACCTAATTGATGATTAATTAATGTTGAGCCTTGAGACTGTGCGTTCGACTTTCGTGTTACATTGCCTTTTTGCAAATTTCTTTTTTTGGATTCTTGTTATAGGTGTCCACACCTAAAATATCGACAAAAAAACAATATCTCTATACGACATTTTTTTACATTCGATTAAGGTCTATTAATGACCTTTTTTCATCATAAATAATTTGCATTATCGAAAAAGCTTTTAATCTTTGAATTGAAAATGAATTTTTATAATTTTTCAAATACACTCTTCCTAAAAGCATTTATGTGTCTTGGACTTAAGGTTTATGTATATTGTCTCAAACAGTACTTCTAAACATCTACACAGAACGAGGCTCGAGTCTTTTGTGGGACATACATCGAAACTTCCTCCCCAAAACTCCACCGGAACGTAAAGAGAAAAGCCTTGTACTTGGTACAACCTGCTTGCGTCCTCTTTTTCTGTTATATTTCTATAGAACTTATCGTAACCAAATTGTGGTTATAATAATACATAAATATTTTAAAACTGACCAACAAAATAAAAAGCTTGTCATGATGGCGCCAAAATCTTCATTGACATTACAACGCTGCATCTATGTATGTCAACACGTGAAATGAACTAATGTCAAATATAAAATCCAGTATTTTAGACATATGCAAAGGTAATTTTTTCCGCGGCTATAAATATTTTTCAATTACGGAACACGTCATATTATGAAATACTCAAAAATTACATTTCTATTACAATGAAAAAAGGAACTTTGATACACAACAATGTGAATGCCAAAGAGTATGTAACTACCAAAGAGTATGTAACTTCTTTTATGTAAACATTGTCATGGTAACTTTTTTTTTAAATGCAGTTGCCATTACAAAAAATTAGTTCCGTAGATTTTACGAAGTACGGCGAGGTGTTGTATTCTTCTGTGCAATATGCAGCTTATAATTACATTAGTTTAAAACAACAAAAAAGTTTTCTTTCGTCTCGTCGTAACTTTCGTAGCTCTTATTTGCTGATAAAGATAATTGTTGTGTCTTTGGTCGTTTGGTAATAATTTACGCAAAAAGATAAATATACATATACGCATATTACATAATCCAGCGATTATGTATCGCTTATATATAATTTTATCATCCATTTAAAACAGCATACTTATTTTCCTATGATTAAAACTGGCATGTACACGCTTTTAGTATTAAATGAATGAATAACATGTCACCGCGTTGTCAACGTATTTTAAAGTGATTAACAAATTAATAAATAATATAAATTCCAACTTTGAACTAAATAGAATAATTATTAATAAAATGAATACTTTATTACCTAAAATATGCAAGTTCCTACGTTTATATGATAATAATTTTGCGCGTAAATTTCATAAAAGTTTTACTTTTAACAAAGATTCCGTTGAGAAAGTTAACCCGCTCATATTGGAACCAATCGAATATGAAAGCTACACATTAAGGAGACACGATAATGATAGACGTCAAAATCTTTACGAATTCGGTTTGTACGTTGGAGCATGTTTACCTAAATTCGTCCAAAAGATTCAAATGCAACATACCGACGAATTGGAAATACTCGTTGCGCCCGAAGGCTTGTTCCCTGTTCTAAGTTTTATGTGTAACCACCAAAACGCCTGCTTCGGTCAGTGCTCGTCGGCGACGGCTATCGATGTTCCAAGTCGGACGTACAGGTTCGAAGTTGTTTATGACATTCTTAGTTTTAGATTTGGAGAAAGAGCCAGGGTTAAAACTTATACCGACGAGGTGACTCCATTGCATTCCGCTTACGATGTTTGGAATGGTGTCAATTGGTACGAACGAGAAATATACGACATGTTTGGTGTAATTTTCACTCACCATCCTGACCTGAGGAGAATTCTGACAGACTACGGATTTAAAGGACATCCTCTGAGAAAGGATTTCCCTCTAGTTGGGTACACAGAGGTGCGGTACGATGATGGCTTGAAGAAACTGGTGTATGAGCCCGTTGAGTTTGCGCAAGAAATGCGAAGCTACCAGTTGGAATCTCCGTGGAATTATTACAAAAATTTTGATAAAGATTACAGTGCTCCACCGCCGCCTCCAAAAAAGAAGTAAGCTTAACAATATGTTATCTTTATGTTATTTATTTGAATAAAGTTTTTAATATTTATTTTACCTTTTTGTTATACCTATTGCAGAAATTATTTAAAATGAGATGCATTAGGTTTTATTTTAAACGTATTTAAGAATTACTGCTTAGTAATGCTAGGCTTAAGTTTATTATTATTACATAGTTTTTTTTTTTGAATTAATATTAAGAAAAATATTTTAAACAGCAGTACAAAAAGTATAAAATGAGTATATTTTTTGAATAAGTATCGGCACAAATACTTATTTGATATAATGCTCACGTTTATTAAGGAACTTAGTATTCATAGTCAGTTGTTTAAGTGTAAACACTTTTGCAATTAACATGTGCCAAGTTCACAGTTATAAATATTAATTACAGTCGGCATTTACCTATCATAGTAGTCTTATTACGATCACAGAAGGACGCAATTTTTTCGCATGATCAGTTTAATATTTTTATTTTTCTCTCGCAACTAAAATATCAATGATCTACTGCTACTGACACATAAAATTAAATAACCAATTAATAGCTTTGTAATATTTAAAACTTGTATAGAACTAATAAAATCTACTCTCCGAGTCTTATCGAGCAGATGACAGTCCTTTCAAAAGCTCGAGAATTAATAACTTTGGAAATTAGCGGAAGGCGGCTAATTATTCCATCTCAATTTCAAGTTAGTTCTACTTACTATAAGAATCTTTCACGCAGTTGTGGGACAATTAAATTCATTTCATTGTCTTACTTTAAATTGTCGAACGTTGAAATTCAAACAATTAATTAATTTTAACATTTCACTGAAATTAACTTAAATAATGTAAATTTTAAGTAAAAAATTTCGGATATTCCTTAAACTGTGAAATGCTGATAATAATTTAAAGATTTCACTGCTTAACATGTGTGAATAAGTGTCATGTTCAAAAGTAGTACAACGCTTATACTAGTCAGATATCTAAGTGGGAATTTTGGCATCGTATCTGACTCTATCATACGGACATCTGCGTAAGAATAACGACAGAGTGGAGGAAGGAATGAGCGATCAGCCGCAGTATGTGACGCGCCTTCGCCAACGCCGTCCGTACGCCGCGCTCGCTCTCCACTCGCACTAAACTTAATACGTACTTGCTACGAACTTAACTTACTTATTACGTATTAAACATACTACGTATTTCTAAACTACCAGGCTATTGAAGACACGAATACAGTATCAATTATTTTAACTAACCAAAAACATCCCGTTTGTTGGTAAACATTAGCGTCAATGTTTGAAAGGTAAGTTGTTTCATATTATCTTTTTATCTTTGTGTATTTTGTGTAGTCATTAATAGTATTAGAGTGACCTTGACCTCTACGCATGTTTGCAATGTAAGAATAATTTAGTTTGTTTCTGATTAAGTATTTTTTATTGCTTTGTATAATCAATTTATTGTTATGTTAAGCCTTTTGTCCTTTTGTTTGATATAAGCACAAGTTTAATTAAGCTATTTTAATCATATTTTCGTAATAATTACATTGTTTATGTGTTATAAATGTAGCAGACATTCACTACCGTAAAGACTGTAACATTTGTTTTAAAAATTAATAAAATATTAAACTTTTATTATCTTAACTTAGATTTATTGATAAATTTACATATTGTGTTTTTTTTCGGAGTTTTAAACGCAGTAAAAATATTAACTTAGTTTTACTGTAAGCTAAGAAAACATTTTAACGAAGTTAAACATACTTTTAATGGGGTTACATAATAAAAATATCTGATGATATTTTTTTAAAAATCATAAGGTGGCAAACGAGCGCGCGGCCACTTGAAATCGCTGAAATAGCGAAGTGACCGTTGCCCATAGACTTACGCAATTGCAAATGCGTTGCCTACCTTGAATCGACGGAGGAGAGGATGCACGGAAAGAAAATATTTTCCCTTCCCATGCATCCCCTCTTCCGGAAAGTTCACTTCCACTTCCTATCCTTTCCTTATAAGAAAAAGGGTGGGAAGGGAAAGAGGACTAAATTAGGCCTCCGGGATGCACACTCACTAAACGCGGAATTTATTCCACTTCACGCCTGTCTTCTGTGTGGTCGTGGTATTTCACCGGGCGAGCGAAGATGTTAAAGCGGGCTCTACCACTGTTTAATAACATAATAATTAATAAAGCTAAAAATAAGAATCTTCCAATCATTAAACTGTGAACTTAAGTCGTTTTTATTACTTGATGGAAACATTATTTTAAATTGTGTATTATTAAACCATTAAGATTCATTCAATATTTACACTTCGACAACAATGTTGTCTCTCAGACAGAATATCCGTTCAAATATTTGCTTACGAGAAAGTAAGCATCAGTTTAACACTTCCTCTGTTAATTGTTGTACTGAGAGCTACGGACGCTACGGCTATTGACCGCTGATAGCGGAGCACGATTACATGATTGTTTACTAAAATAACCGTAGTTTTCCACTGCTCTTACACATGTACAAAAAAATGACAAGTTTTTGAACACATATTTTTTTGTTGTTAAAATATATTAAAAGGTAAACTATGTTCAAGTAACTTTTATACAATGAATCTTCATTTGAACTAAATTTATTTATACTAAAAAGAATTTTAAAATAAATTGTCATTTTGTAAATTATTATTCAGCTGTCTGGCCCCGAATAGCCTGTCCGAGTCTAGAGACCACGGATTGATACGTAAACAAATTGCTATTCTGAAGTTATTTAGAACCAAACATAGGTCGACTAATACTTTAGTCTTTAGAATCACTTTCAATCACATTCAAATATCTTTAGAAAATTAAACCCAAACATAATTTATTATATTCTATTCTAGATTTTATCTTTTAGTATTTAATTTCGATATATTCTTTTTAACCTTATATAAAATTTGATTAACTAATTGACTTTCAGTTAATAAATTGCGCAATGAAATTATTTAAATACAGTTCTAAAAAAATATTTATCACAATTGCTCATTGTGCTGTAATATGTAAAGTAAAATATTGATATTCTGACATAATATTTATATTAATATAGTAAAAATTAGTTCATTATTTATTATTTAACAAAAACATGTTAATCTATATATTTTATTATATATAAAAGAAAGTCGTGTTAGTTAGACTATTTATAACTCAAGAACGGCTTTACCGATATGGCTGAAAATTGGTGAGGAGGTAGCTTAGACCCAGGAGACGGACATAGGATACTATTTATTCATATTTTTTTCGAATTTATGAATTGAAGAGCTGCTTTTTATTTAACTTTCTAATATTATAAATGTTTAGATGGATGTGATGTGGATGGATGGATGGGTGTTTGAAGATATCTCTAGAACGGCTGAACGGATCTGGATTAAATTTGGCATACGTATAGAACATAGCCTAAAAGAACACATAGGCTACACTAATTAAGTTTTTTATATATCCACGCGGACGGAGTCGCGGGCAATAGTTAGTATTAAATAAATCAGACTAAAATGATAGCAAAAGCAACACTTACTCTATCTCCCAAGTTTGTGTGAATTTTGCAGAAAATATCTTTACTAGATAACAAATTCAATGAACCTTTTTCCATACAAGATTGCGGTCTTCGTACGGTTGACTTCCAATATGTTGATAGTCCTCCTATTGAGGTGGCTGAAGTGCGCTTCGCATTTTTCTCAAGCATTATCGCGGAAAAGTAGTTACCGGTACGAGATCGCATCCGTGCTCATTTTTGCAACATTCTCGATCGACTTTTCGGCACCCAGAATAACGGACGTGAGTCCAATTTAACCCTTTATACTTTTTAGATAGACCTTTATACGCCGCAGTGAATCATTATTGACTGAATCTTTTTGTTCGTTCAGTTATTATTTGTGCAATTACTTTGGTGTTTGCGAATTTAATGTGTAGTGATTGTTGAACATTTTTGATGACGAAATTATAAAATCGACTACTATGTTGAAGTACGAGTATTAAGAATGTAATTGACCCTAAATACGTAAATATAATCAAGACATATATATAGTATACGTATGTAATAAAAAAACATATAAAATTATAAAAAAATATTGTAACTTGAACTTGAATTCTTATTGCAGATTCAGATGGATATCTCATGTTTCAAAATTTGACGATCACGCAGAGAATCTCTCATGACTGGAAATATGCAGCAGCCTTGGTGGCTATACTTGCTTGCTGTATTCTGGATACGTCTTGATTCTAAGCTCGTAGGCAAGTCATAAATATTTGCAATACAATATACATATAAACTTATTTAATTAAAATATTTCAATACATACAGGTCAAGCCTTCCAACCGGAATTCGCGGAACCTTTATCAAATCTAACAGTACCCATTGGCCGTGATGCTATATTCAGATGCTTAGTTCAAAATCTTGGAGGTTATAGAGTAAGACATTTTAATATAAATAAAAACAATCACTGAATTATATTTTATATTCTAAAATATTTCCTATTTACAGGTTGGTTGGGTAAAAGCGGATACTAAAGCAATACAAGCCATACATGTGCATGTAATAACAAATAATCATAGAGTCAGCGTATCACATAACGGTCAAACAATTTGGAATTTACACATCAGGAACGTTCAGGAAGAAGATAGAGGTCAATATATGTGTCAAATTAATACAGACCCGATGAAAAGTCAGGTTGGTATTAAAATAACTTTATAAACAGAGTTATTAGTTAGAAGTCAACGCGCTCCATTCTGCTCTTTCAGTAGAAACAGTCCTATCTCGATCATTTGTGACTGTTCTTCGTTTAGTGCCTTTGTTTTTAAAATACCCATGTATTCTTACTTGTCGGTATAGAAATTCACGTGTCATAATTTCAGGTACAAACATTTTTCTACTTCTAAGCAATACTTTATCTTCTGGACCCCATTTAGAAGTAGGATAAAAAAGGTTACGTGTTGAATTTAAATTGTAATAAAATCTTAATTCGTAAAACACTCCAACAATAACTGTAAGAGCATAAAAACTTAGAAGAAGTATTAACAATAGAACATCACATGATATCCCTAAACTTTCGATTTTAAAAGAATTGGTATATTCAAGGACTAAAACTTTCATAGCTCTGATATATATTAGTAGTAACAGTAATATGGGATTTATAATCCATGATATTTTCCAATAGTAACTTGCTTTAACTCCAATCATAAAAATAATATCAAAGTTGTGATTATTATACGGGTATATCCAGTAAACAGAAATTGAGAAAAAAAGACAATTTATAAGTTGGATTATCTCAATAGCATCGGTGAAAGATATAACCAAATCGGCACAAAAAATCGGACAAGATATTAAACATAAAAACAAAATTAATGCAGCACAACATAAATTTCTATATTTCTGTGCAGTTTTAAATTTACATACTAGCAAGTCGTGTAAATAAAAAAGCGTAATAAATAAATTAACAAAAACACATAAAAATATAGCAGAAAACCAAAGAAAACTCCAAATCGAACTTTCATCGTAATAACTCGTTATTTCGGAAACTGAAGCAAATATTGAAAAGAATGGATTATTCCCTAATTCTAAAACATTTTCTTCTTCACCGTGAAAATAAGACATACTTTTGATACCGCTGTATATAATTAATGCTAACATAACAGAATAAAATAATGCAAATAAAGTCACCGCAATAGCTGTCATAGTCGCGGGACTGCGAAATGGAATATTTCTTGATAAAAAAGCCAACATACCAGAACCAGTCCCGAAAGACAAGACACCACGGGTTAAAGTTAATGTACAAGATTTAAAATCATAATCGTTCCAATTAATATGTATCTTTGATGAATACCACGCACCGCTGGCAGACAAAGCGACACAAAACAACACGAATACAGCAAAACTTACATACACCACTAATATTTTGATTGCGATTCTCATTGATTTTTCTTTTTTCAAAAACAAGCAAAACAAAACAAAACTGATAGTACTGCTAATGATTAACGTTTTCCACTGAAATGTACAATTCTCATTCATAGTAATATTTCTACCAATTTCTCGTTCGAAGAAGCAAGAACTTGCCGTCTTCATACCGCAGTCGTCGTCGAATAACATTTGCGTTTCAATACAATGTTGAAAAATTGAAGTATTTACACGCTTTACCATACATCTTGAATTATTGAATTCGTCGCAAGTGAACCACGGCGGAGGATCCAGTGCCGCGTGGAATGTATAATTTAAATACCACGAACTTAGTACGATCAAGTAAACAGATTTATACAAAATTAAAACCACAGTTCCATATCCGACGCTCCGTAGAATCGGAAATAAATTCCACATAGAAATTGCATCACAATTCGTATACTGTGCTATACAAATCTCCGAATAAACCAATGGCAATCCAATAAATATCGCTGCGAGAATATATATAGCACCGTGGAAATAGAAACCGTTGTGCGACATTTCGATAGGTGAAAAGACCACTGTTACTTCTCCCATCATCCAAACCCATAAAATAAGCCGGTAATTTCCATATGTTTTCCAACGATACTCAGAATCCATTCGCGACTAATTTGCTTCTTTAAAATTATGAATTACAAGTACCCTTGTGACAGTCAAGATTATTAACATTATTATCACGACCGTCTAGATTAAACTTTACTCGTACATTTGCAATCCAATAATGCCAACAAATATAAAAGATAAATTAAAAGAACAATAATAATAAAGGATAAAGAGATAAAGGGAATTAAACAACATGCAATGGGGACGCAGACGGGTGACGCAGCGGGTAATGATTCGTATATGGTAGTCCTAAATTATTGCGCTGCGCTGTAATTTATACTCGGGTGTGATAACGGCATAAATTCCCAGCGGCGACAGTGCAGCTGCAGGCTTCGACGGCGACGTCGACGCGGCATGGAGCCACTTGACGTAATGTCATACAGAAAAAAATGTTATACGCTAGACTCGGAACAAGGAATTAGTTAGTTGTAAAGATCACAGTCATTAGGAAAATTTAACTCAAATTCCATTAAAATTGTAGTTGTTACTGAGAAATCTTTAGATTCTTCGTCATCCATTTTTGTTCACAGATGGGTTACCTGGATGTTGTCATACCTCCTGACTTTATTTCGGAGGAAACATCAGGCGATGTGATGGTACACGAGGGTAGCGCGGTGCGGGTGTCGTGTCGTGCTCGCGGCCAGCCCGAGCCGCGCGTCATGTGGCGGCGAGAAGACGGATCAGATTTTGTAATTAGATATACAAATGGAACTAAAACTAAAGGTTGGTAATTAAATTTTCATATTCTTAAAAAAATTGAAAACATAAGCACTATGACGTGTACTAATTACTACACATGATTGAATATTGATAATTTGGTAAAATTGAATAATTTGTTTGTGCTAGTGTCAATATATGAGGATGCAGTACTAACGTTCAGCAAAATCTCGCGATCTGAAATGGGTGCATACCTGTGCATTGCGAGCAACGGTATACCACCTTCTGTCAGCAAAAGGATTGTTATCAAAGTACATTGTAAGTAAAATATTTTTTTATTTTCATTTTATAGAATAGTAGATTAGGTTATCCAGTAATTCCATTTTAAATAATGTTTCTTCTAATAAAGTATCGGATTATTTAAGCTTGAATCTTATTTTTGCTAGTCGTCAGATGTTTTGGAATAAGTAAAACCTAATTTGAAAGAAGAAAATTGGTTAGCGCCAATTCTTTGTAATTGTTCTTTATCTCGGAAAGTTTCGGATGTTTCTTGTTATTAATGGTGTTATTCAATGTCAGCCTTTTAATTATTTTAGCTTTTAGATGGATGTTGTCAAGGAAATTTTCTATCTTTTAATATCAGGATTAGTTTGTGTGATGTTTATAGTTAATTTAAACAGTAAAAAATGAAAACCGATTATTATCATTCTTATCTTTTCCGATCTTCAGATAATTTTTTTTCCTTAAAATGTATTGAAGAAGTAATATATTTAACGTCTTATATATTTCTGTAGTTCATCCAGTTATTCAAGTACCCAATCAGCTAGTGGGGGCGCCACTTGGTACCGACGTCACATTGGAATGCTATGTGGAATCATCGCCAAAGTCCATTGTCTATTGGGTGAGAGATTCAAGTAAGTAACTCCTTATTATTATTGTCACGAGTCAAAACAACTCATATATAATGTGCTTATCTACCTATTTGGTTTCTTTTTAAATAGGTGTTTTAGCATTTAATTCATAAAGGATAATTTTTAATTAGATTTGATTCTGTCTTGCTTGATTCATTTACTAAACAATGATTAATTTGTACAAAATAACGTGATCGTATTTAACTGTTACTGTATTACTTTGAATATCACCACAAATATTTGCTGTTAGGTCCATTTCAAAAGTAAACTACAATATAATTCGAATACTAGCCCTGTCAATATCCTGACTAGGATTGCATTCTGTGTTCGTGAATCGAAAGTTCAATTGAGTATCTAAATTAGCTGTTACACATTTTGCTGGGAATTGGTAACTTCATTTGATTGTTGCCATAAAATTTCTTGCTCGTTTAAATATACATTTGATCCCTATCTTTTAAACTGAACTTAAGAAGTCATCATCCAGTGACAAGATACATTAAGTAAGGAAATCGTTCCGTTGGGATCTCAACCTGGTTACTTTGCACGATGGTCATTGCAAGCGTATTAGTTAATCGCATCAGGGGTAATTGGAAATTACAGCGCTTAAAGATAATTAGTTCTGATAGTATTTGTATGTATAATTTGTAATAGTATAGTTGATTTGAATGAATACCTCAAAATTAATTTAATTAAAGTAAACTTAATAATCTTTAGGAATTTCATAATATACTCTAAACAATTTTGTACTAGTGTTATTCATGTTAGGGAACAATTCGATGTTCTACTATAAATAGTGTTGGTTATTGTATATCATAAATTGCACAGTCTGTTTAAAATTATTTGAGTTTTTTGGCATTAGTGGAATCGGGCGTGTCGCTGCTCAGTGGTTGCGAGCAATGGGATATTAAGTTTTAATTTATGAGTGCGTCTGGTTTAAGTCTTAAGAAAATTGAGCTATTGTGGTGAAATAAGACAATGGCCGTTAGTGCCGCTCGGATGGTCACGGCGCGTTACGACTGCTCAGCGGCCGCCGACAATGCTTTTGTTATTTATATCTTGTGAATGTACGCCTTTTGCCGTTTCTATTATAAGGAATAGTTCAAATGGAAAAAGCAGTTTAGGATTCTCTTCTCTATGTTGCAACTTTCATTCGATTTTATTTCACTATTATTTTCCTTCACATAGTACATAATCTTGGAACAAATATTTCTATTCTGATACTAAAGTATTTTTTTTGTTTTATCATATTTATTACAAATATATATACTGTTAGGGAGATAACTCGAAACTAAGCTGGTGTACTGACGCAACACTAGCCTTAGTAAACTGTCGACGATGATAATGCCAGACTAATAATTCTGATACTTGACTTGGTAGTGAAGGCGCGCCAAAGGATTCTAAATAATAGTAACTAAAAATACTTAGATTATTGTAAACAATAATAGTCTCGACTTAGTCTTAGTTTGTGTATCTAATCTCTAAACACATCATCTGACTGTGAATGTTGAATGACGGAGTCTAGAAACAGTGAAGTAAGTTTCGCTGCTAGATCAAACATTCCACCAACTCCGGCAGAGCTTTTGATTCGATAAGTTTCCGCTTAAACAGCACTTACCGTTTACTATGGTATCTCGATCATTACTGATTTACGTGCAATTATTTTATTGTTAACATTAGTAAAATTGATCTAGTTATAAACATAGTTTCGGCTAAATTACGTAATTTTTACATCTCGGATAAAAAAATATATATACGTAATGTACAATAATAGTCCGATTATAAATGCGAAAGTTTAGATGGATGATGGATGAATGGAGGAATGTTTGTTCGAAGGTATCTCCAAAACGGCTCAACGAATCTCGCTGAAATAAGGCATAGATGTAGAACATAGCTTGAAAGAACACATAGGCTACTTATTAAGTTTTTTTAATTCCCTACGAACGGGGTCACGGGCAACACCTAGTGTGATATAATTATGTAAATAGATAAGATTATTAATTGAGTTTATTGCGAAAGTAATATTCATATAATTACATCTGATATTCGAAAAGAATATAATGTTAAGAGAGCGCTGCGTGTTCGTTGATTTCGTTGATGAATTCATATTTTATTCATATTCCCATATATAAGGTGTTGAGGCTTCTTTCAAAGAGTTTCCAAGATATTTCAAATGAAATTCTATATTTCCACAATATATTCACAAAATGTGGATGGATAATGTTAGAAAGTTTCATTTTTATGTGAGCCTGATGTTTAATAATAAAGTTAGAGACATATGTTTGTCCTAATATTTCTCGCAATGCAATAAGCGAACAAGTCACGGAATCTTTGGTTCATAATTCCCGTGTGCATAAAACCATCCAATATCCAATAATAGCGGAAAGTGGAAAATTTCACCACAAGGGAATCATAATAAAACGACCAGTATATTGCACCCGTTGTTAAGATTGTTATATATGTGACAAGCTATTTAATAGATGTTAGAACATGTACTTTAGTCTGATATTGTCTCGGAAATCTGTTAGTGTGGCGCAGCGGCACCAAATCAAACCATTACGTATTCACAGAGGATGACAACGTCTCGGATTATATTGCATTTGTTGCGGAGCGCACAATGCTAGAATAATTCAAATGTTGTTTTATGTTTTCTTTTCCCTCTATTATTCTATACTAGCTCTTTGTTCTTAATATTTCTAGGAAAATATCCAATAGTAGTAAAATGTATATCGTTTTAATAATTAAAAATTCATCCATTTACGTAATACGCTATTAGTTATCATGCGACATTTGTTACTATTTTAGTTTAAATGGAGAAAAAAAAACAAAAAGAATGTAATAGCTCAAGACGGTAACCTATTAGTTACATATGACTCGTCAGTAGTAATAAATCAGATGTTTCTGATTAAGCAACCGTTACATTCAGCGCCAGTACGAAAACGAGCTGTAACGAGCTGTATGGAGCGATTCGAGCTTTTACTTCGTATTTCTTCCCCTCTATAGCCGTCGGCGGTTTCGCAAACTTCTCTTCTCAGCAGTTGTCGCCTGAAATTTACGAGTTAATTTTCAATGGGAAACGGTTTTAGAGCTTCTAGTATTTTTAAGTTACGCGAAATATTTTGCATTGTTTTTGTACACCGCAACGTTGAATAATATTTGTACTTCTAGATTAAGGAGGATAAATCTATAGTAAAGCACTGTTTAAGAGACTATTAATGACTGAGTGTACGATATAAAGTGTATCATGTTTAATTAAATTATTTTAGAAGTGTGTTGAAAAGGTTATCTTTTTATTCAAAGGTGAAAAGAGCTCAGTCAGTACACTAAGGAATCCGTTCACGAAAGCGTAAAGCATTATTTTAAAGGCGAACAATTTGGAAGAAGTAACGGTAAAAGGTCGGACAGGTATTGTGGTGATTTTTTTGTCACCGACGTTTTCATGCTTGACATTTATCACTATGTTCAAACAAAAGCGCTTTATATCTTAGCCAACTATAAAAGGTTATTTATAAAATATACTAATTGTCGCCCGCAACTCCGTCCGCGCGGAATTAAAAGAAAATCATATTAGTAGCCTATGTGTTCTTCCACTGTGTGCCTGTGTGTTCCAAATCTATGCCAAATTTCATCGAGATCCGTTCAGCAGTTCTTGACATACCCTCAAACCATCTAAACTTTCGCATTTATAATAATAGTAGGATATCTAAGAATATTTTGATGGAATTTGTGAAAGGCTTATCGTTTAATTTATTTATCAACAACATTTTCCGGAATATTTTTTTCTTCCATAATAATTCTTAACTTTTACCCGTTACTTTACTCGCATTGATGTCTTTGAATAATTTTAATATAAACCTTATTCCTTTAGTAATAAAAGTGTAACAAATTCATTGTTTTAGTACAATCATCACTTAATAATCCATCCATTTTGTTGCAAAATTCTTGGATTTATAATGGTACTTTTGTGTAGTATTATTATGTTTGTGAGGCACAGGTATTAGCCAGTTCGTGGCGTTGGAGTACTAAAGGAGCTTTGTTTCTTCTCATTCCATTCCGTACTACAATTTACAGTGCCCCACTACGAACACTTACTTAGGAGGTCATAACAACTACAATGCAATGGTCAATGCTTTCTTGAAGTAGGATTACATTTCATTGCCTCAAATAAAAGTATTACTTTATAGTTTCTTTCTAAAATAATAAAATCGGTTAGCAACAGGAGTAAATTGCACTTCCATTTTTTAAATAAAAGAAATTATAACCTTGTGTTTTACCTTTTTAAAAAATGCAAATAGAATCGAAAAATTGTCAAATAAAATACCTAAACATTGGTCGTCTGCGTGTGCGCACACACAAAGGTAACACTTGTAATAATAGTCTCCGCCTTTTCTATCTATTAAAAGCCACAAAGAAAGTTGACAGGGCCTAGTCTTTTTATCATAGGGAAATGCCTAATGTCAGCCTAGGGAAGACAGACAAGTTATGTCGGGTTTGCACCAACTACAACCCAAAGGTGGCCGTCAATAGCAATAGCGATAGCGATAGCCTAGCCTAGAAAACAATGGTGTATTATATCTTGATAGAAAAGAGGTTTTAAGTGAGTAAAAAAATTTGATTAAGAAAAAAATTATTAACAATTTATACAATTTTGATAACTAACTCTTAATTCAGGTAAGTAATAATCATAAACGTAAAAATAATTAAAAGTGCTTATTCATTCGCTAATACATGACCAACTAATCCTTGGTTTCAGAGACCACAATCCTTGTATGAGACATATCGTCATCCCACTCATTAAAATTCACTAAACAGAGATAACGATATGTTTTAAACGGGGAATTTGGTATCAGAAACCAAAGATAAGTAGTAGATCATCTTCAGAGTCAGTTAAAAATCTAGTTTAGCGAAAGACTATTTTATTTCGTGCAAGATAATTTTAATAGTAGCCACTTTCATGGCCCAAATATGTTACGGGGTATACATTGTGCGTTGTGACAGGTCTTAACTAATAAAACGCATTAAGGGATCAATTTGTTTTCCCGAGTATTATGATTCATGTATGGCGGCCGTCGATCAAGCCTTTGTTTGTTCGAGAACTTGCTGGATGACTTGCATTTTTGCTGTGAAAGCAATGAAAACCAACGCGAAAGGGGAACAACGCGGGATCGTCATTTTCGTTTGTCATCAATCTATGTTAGAGCTGACATGTAAGTGTTAATTAAGCAAGCCCCACTCGAGCGTTATTAAGAGTGTTACTGTGTTATTTTAGACATTAATTGAGTTGAAATTTCTTGTTATGAATCAAGGGCGAGGCGAATCAGGGCTTTATTTTGTAAATTCGTTCGAAGGCCATCGTTGTCGCGATGTTAGCGAACTAGAACGGAACAAGCAAACAGAAGTTTCGATCGAAATTAAGATAAGAAATGTTTAGCGTTATCTTTTCACTTTGAAGTTTTCTACAAGATAATTAGGTTGCATTTTTAATAAAGCTTTCCTTTTAGTCGAAACTCTGTTTATTTTTAAACATAATCGAATTTTCACTTACACGTCTGATAAAGGTAATTAAAATTACTTTATATAATTAAAAGAATTTTATCCAATCTTAATTTATTATTTTCCAACTTATTATATTTTATTAAATCTGTAGAATGGATGCACAAATTTCGTGACACAAATGGTAAAAGAAAAAAATACTTTCAAATAGAGATAGAGAAATAGGAAAATGTCATTTAAGTTCTTTGTAATTAAGAAAACCTCCAAAATTGATTTTGTAGTAATTTAGCATAATCTCGTGCAAATGTTCGCAGTAAAACAATTTCAAAGTGCATTTTATAAAGCAAATAAAAGAGAAAATGGTCGTTCTAAAACGAGCGCGAGGTGTAGTATAACGCAACAGTATTTTCGTAAGAAAGCTAGTCACTTTATCATTTGCGGACAACAGACGCCGGGGCTTAGTGCGCCCGCCGCGGCCGAACGACATAACGGGATGGAAGGATTGTTTAGATTGTGGGACAGCATGAAAATTGTAGCAATTTTAAAACTATTTTAGCTTTATAATTGTTAAATTTAATTCTAGCTTATTTCAAGGTAGAATATACTTGAACATTAATTACATTTTACACTACACACTAAATTTATTTGATGCTTTTCACATTTTGTTTGGGTTGGCTTCTTAAATTCATTTGGAAAACGGTCAATTGTCTTATTTTTTAAACTATATCTAGCTGTTGCCCATGACTTCGTCCGCGCGGGATTAAAACATATATAGTAGCCGATTCCCAGACCTACTGAATGCATATAACATTTCATAAAAATCGGTCAAGTCGTTTCGGAGGAGTATGATAACTATGATATCTATTTGCTATTTATGAATACATTATATTTGAACTTGTTGCATAATATTGACCGAAATACTTTTTTATCCATAACAAGAGCTTATAATAAATTTTGGTTTATTGTAAGTTATTGTTATGAGTTGCTGTAAGTTTAATTAAATTATAAACGAAGAATAAAATAAGATTGTTAATTTTCTTTTACAAATTAAGAGTTTTAATTGTACATTAACAATAGAAGTTGATGTTTCGCTGTTATTTATCACGGTTCGTTACTTACAAAGAAATTCAAAGCCTCGACATAATAGTAAAGCTCCGTCCAGCAAACTTTATACTCTTCAGCAATTAATACTTTGCGAAGTAGTCTCTTTATTTCAATACTCTGTAATAATAACGACTTTTGTTATTTAGTTGAACAGAGATTACCTTTCTATAAAACATATTGTTGGATTTACTAAAGACTAGCTGTCGCCCGCGACAACTTCCGCAAGAAATAAAAAAATCTTAATGAGTAGTCTATGTGTTCTTCCCAACCATGTTCTACATCCCTGCAAGAGTCCATCTATATATCCAAACATTTATAATGTTAGTAAGATTAAGGAAGGTCCTTTACTAATACTTCGAATCATAATAGGATTTAAAACAATGCTTAATTTATCTTATTTCATTAATTTTTGTTGCTAACAAATACAAGTGACATATATTATGCAATATTAGTGAATGAGTTAAATTTTATTATAGAATTTAAATTATAATTTTTATTTCAACAGATGAAATGGTAATATCGTCAGAGAAGTATGAAGTGCTTAATACAATGTTGAGTCCCTTCGAGAGTCGTATGACGCTGACCATACGTGGAATGGAGAAGATAGATCTTGGAGGCTACAGATGTATTGCGAAAAATTCACTCGGCGAAGTGGATAGTAACATCAGGGTGTATGGTTAGTACAATAATTTAATAATATCAATTAGCTCATCAATCTTATACATGTCACTGAATGATCGTGAATGCTGCCTATTTGTAAATTTCACACATATCTTATTTCCTCATGAATACCTCGAATTAATTATTATGCCATAATGTTGATGGATAATAGTATCAAATTGGACGTGGCTTGAATATTATCAGGCATTATTAACAGTGCAATAGACTTAGCTTGCAAAAGCCCTACTACTAATGGAATAATTCCCGAAATGACCTGAATGGTCAGCCATGCATTCAACGTGAATCAAGATGTGCCAGACTGATTACCTCACGACAATATGCGTTTAACAATAAACTCATACTTGGAGAAAAATGCAAGCAAGCTTTGCTGCAAGACGGCTGTCGTAAATACAGGCAACTGAAGAAATCATTTATTAAAAATTGAACTAGCTATAAAAAAAACTACCTAAGTCTATTTCCAAATTACGCTTCGCCTAATTTACTGTGATGTACAAGCATTATCAAACAATTCAAAATTACAGATTGAAATAAATACCTAAAGTAAAACAAAATCTTAATATAATTCGTATATGTCTTTAAAATGTTCCCGCTACATCCGGGAATTCCCTATATCCTTCAAATTCTTTACATTAATTTCGAGATCCAGAGCATTTGTTCTCGTCGCTCCACAACGCTCTCAAATTAGGTGTATCACTGGCGTACGAGACGTGCGGTGCGCTTGAAGCAGACACGTTTACTATGTACCTATTTTATACGTGTTCTGTTGAACTATGAGTATTGTATGAGATATATTCTAGGAAACAGGGTTAATTTACGTACAAAAGAAGAATAAAGTTTTGTACCGCAAGCTAATATCTTTTTAAGTAGTTGCAAGCAATCATGACATTTTAAAGCCATTTTTAGTATTGTTAAAGAGTTCTTTAGTGTAGTGTACAATTTTTATACTGTAGGTACATTTAAGACATTTCTTAGTAACTATTACAAGACTGTGAGTACTGTAGTTATTCTGAAAAAGTTTATCGTTAACAAAATACTCGTAAATATATCAAAGTTTACCAAACAGTCAGCTAAGCAAACCTATCCAGGTTTGCCTTTTAAAGGAAAGTAAACCAACTATTGTTACTGTAATTCATTGTACCTTTTCAGAAATTCCAGGCAAAGATCGAATTAAAAGTCTAAGCACAGAGCAGAATAAAGAAGATTATAAATATTCAACACCGCTAGAAGGTCCTGACAACCAATTCGGGTCCGCGGACACATCTGATGATGAAGACGAAAATGATACATCAACAGATTTTGTCAATAAAATGTTAATAACTGATTCCAGTGGCAGTATCAATAAAACGTTGCAATTGACGCGTTCAAACGCAATAAGTAAATTAAACTTAAGTAACAAAGTTAAAAAAATTACAAATAAATTTGATATAGATAATCAAAATAATAATGCTTGTAGAAATTGTAATGTACCAATAATACTTATTTTATCGTTTGTATTAAAGAGTGTTATATGTTTGTAATATTTCGTTTTCAAAAATTGAAATTAATATATTAATTGTACATAATGTTAGCTTTTTTCCCTTATGTAAGCACCATAGGCTCCAGAGTCGGATGTAATGGGGCGCCTGCGGTACCCCTAAGATCATTGTAAAATTTCCATTAAAACAAAAAAAAGGGGCGCCACAAAAATCTCGCCCAGGTCGCCGGGAATGCTGAAACCGGCCCTGACTAACATACAATCGAGTTAAATAGTAAATAAATACTGTACAATTTTGTCACACACGCTATTTGCCTGTAAGTTACAAACTGATGTGTGGCCTAAATTACTCTTTAAATATTTTATTTATTAATAAATAATTAATTGATTGAATGTTATTAAAATAATGTAACAAAATAAATATAAAAAATATAAATATATTTACTATCTACATAGTTTGATAACAGTAATGCAAAACCTACGGCTCATAAACGTAATTGAATGTGTCGAGGCGAGCGGGAAATTGGTATTGATGCGAAAGTTCCGCAAGCACAAAATTAATATTCAACTGATGTTTTAACATGTACATACCGACATACTAATATGTTAATTTGCATTATTACATACTGGCTTTTAATAAATAATTGTTTATACAATTTCAATTATGAAAGTAATGTGCCTATTGTACACAAGTTTGAACAAATATAATACAACGTTCAAAAAATATTGTTATTTTCTTTTACAAAAAAGAGTATGAACATTTGGGTACTGGTAAACTACGGTTATATAACATCAAGATGGATACCTTTTTGTACACTGTACACGTGAAAGACCGTTCAAGTGAAGTGACGTCATTGAATCATTATAATGCATCAAGTTCATATAAATTTACGTTTATAAATCTTTATATAATGTTTCTTAGTAGTCGTTGAAATGTATAAAATTATTAATTAAACACATATACTCGCTAATAAATTTTGATTGTTGTGCACAGATATAAAATAGCTATATTTTAATAAGCAAACATTTTGTATAAAAGAACAATGTTCAAGTACTAATATACAATAGCTCCGCAATATTTCCACACCAGTTATTATGAATGGAAAGTTAATGTATAATATTTCAATGTTAACATGTATCCATAATTAAAGTAAAACAAAAACGAATGTACATACTAATAAAAGATGTTACAAAAAATAAATGTGTTTTTATTTATTTCATAATCAATGTGTCAATTAAAAAGAAATAAAATTGGACTAAAATACACGTATTGCAAGGATGAAAATACCAGGAGATCACAAGCTCGTTGGCTATACTTCGTCTCTTCTCTCACACTCGATTCAAAGGTAGAGAAGTAAAAGGCGAGATTATAAAAAATAATAATTAATCTACATCCACCGTAGCTATACTATTGATACAACTAAGAACTAACGCCGCGGAGTACCTACCAGGCAAGCAGCATTTGGACAGACATTCTTCATATTGATTTTCAAGGCTCTGAATTTTAATGAACTAGTAAATTATCGTTATCCTCTCCTGTTGCCACGTTTTAAAATCGCTGAACACAGCCTGCGTGGATTAAAACATTAAACCGGTTTGATATTACAAAGCCCGCAATAGCATTAGTGGTAGCACACACTTAAGCCCACTCTGCTAATTACATGCCATTTACTGTAAACGCAATCATCTGGTTCAAGCGAATCCTTTGTAATATTTAATTAACAAAAAGCTATTAATAATTCAATTACTTTACAAATATATATGTTATTTCGCCGGAGACTGTAGAGATATCTTACTAATATTATAAATGCCAATGTTTGCATGGATGGATGGATGTTTGTTTGAAGGTATCTCCTGAACAGCTGAACGAATCTCGCTGAAATTTGGCATAAAGACTTTTTAAGTTAATTAAGTTTTTATTTAATTCTGCGCGGACAGAGTCGCGGGCAACCGCTAGATATAAACTAAAATATACGTAACGAGTAATTGGTCAAGTTTGCAGGAATGTGACTAATTGAAGCAACACAATAATTTTACATCAAAGGACAAAAAAAACAATAAAATGAAGCATCTCTTGTTCTCTTGAACTTACATCTAATACCACACAGACTTACGCGCATATTTCAAGAACGTATTAGGTATATGTGTATAATTTTCCTTAACAAAAACAAGCCGATACAAAGTTATAAGTAGAATAATAATTTTATTTGAAAATCTGTGCGATGTAAGAATAAGTCGTGGCAACAAGTCAAGTTCGCGAATCAGGCAAGGTTGTGGTTTGTATCAAGTTTTCGTTCCAATGTGGGGGATTACCCGACATCTTCGCTCATCTTCATTATACGAAGAGAAGTTTGTTCCGTTGGCGCTGCCTCGCGCCGTGTTTTGTTCGTATGTATGCAAATGTGCCGCGCTCACTTCACAAACAAATACACAACTTTTAGCTACACATAATTACCTAATATTTTATAATGTTCCAAGTTATGGTTTGTGTCGGAAGAAATTATTATGATACCAATGTTCGGCTATTTTTTAGTAGTAGCGTATTTCTTGATATATTTTGATGTTATTGAATCAAGCTAACAGCGTGATATTTCTTTCTTTCAATTGATTGGAAATAAAAAATCGTAATTAATAGTCAAAAATTATTTCGCCTTTTCGAAACCGATCCAGTTGTTTCGGCGATTACTTGGAACAACGCGGCTTTGCGGACAGACAGACAAAAATTTCCAATACTCTAATTTTATTAATTGTATAGATAGACAAATTTGTATTTATAACCATAAACATATTTACTACTTGAATGTTTGTACATAAATTATAGGAACGTAATTATTTTGTTATTTCAGTGTGGATTCGCTATTTCGGTTAATTAAAACGCGTCTGAATTCTCGGGTTGTAAATTTTACGTTTGCGAGGTTTTTTTTATGAAACTTTTCGACAGACCATCCAGTTTTCTGTTTATTTATGAGCTTTGACTGGCTGCGAACGGACGGTTCGCTCGACCGACAATATTTTCAAATTAATGTTTGCCAGTTTTTACAGTACAAATGTAGATGAAGCATAGAATAAACATTAAGTCTACAACGTAATACGTCGTTATCCAGTACAAAAACATTTTCCTTTAAGTTTTCCTTCCTCATCTTCGTCTTTGACCTATCAAATAAATAATAGGTGACAATGTGTAAAGGAAAACAATGTAGTGAAACAGGAGGTCCGTAACGAGAAAATAATCAATCTCCCGAGTCCACTTGGAAGCAATCAACGGTCTGTTATTGCGTCCGTCCAATCCGATAAAAGAGCCGATATATCAAAGACGTCCGCGGTTCAATTACTTGCCAATGTGCTATCTCTTAGACGCAGTAATCGAAAATGAAAATAGTAGTAGACATTTTGTAACAACATCAACACAGAAGAGAATGACAGTCAACGTCAGCTACAGAGTTCGCGGGATCAGACCACATCGATATTATCCTTTTGTTGCAACTATTTAATCCAAATTGAAATTTACATGTCTGCGCGATGGAATAATGAGAGGTGTCGAAAACCTTTTACTAATATTTAAATCAGTCACAAAAATAACATACTCTTTTATATTCATAAATAAACCGTTGGAATTGTAAATATAAAAATAATACGTTAACAAATTCATAAACCTAACAAGAGACTTCGAGACATCTAAAGTTTCAGAAAAGAGAAAATGTTTTAGTTAGAATGAGGACGCCCCTGGATTATAATTTTCGAGCGCTCCTTAAGAAATCTTACTCCCATTTCTTGCAGAGAATAATTACATGTTTCAGTACATTTGTCGACGCTGTTTAAAGAAGTATTCATATTAAAAAAAATATTCAACATATATGACATAAAATTAACATATAAATTAAAAATCAAGCTCATGACTACTATGCCAGTTGAAGTTAGATGGTGTTGTGTTTGTTCTTGCGTTTGTGATAATTTAATAAATTTCTGATTATTTTTCAGTCTAAATCTTAAATATGCAGAAGAAATATGAAATTAATTTATAAGTCTCAGTATGTGCCTTTGTTGTTCCGCAAGTATCGCTTTGAGAGTAACGCCCGCGGCAAAAGACGGGCTTTTAACGGGTAATTGCTTTAACATGTCCCCACGTAAGACATTGCCGAAATTAGATGAACCTACACTCTTCACGGGCGTTGTTACGTTGCCTTGAAAATAATGTTGTGCATCAACTCAGCTCAGGTAAAAATAAATCGAAGTCAAATAAAATAAATAGAAAATGTTCTCCGACTCTTAAAAATATTTATTTTTAATTACTAAAATAGGTGTAAAACTTAAGTAAGGATTTTTTAATTATGATTTATTAATCGAAGTATAGTTTACTAAAACGGTACAAAGTGTATATACATTACTTCGTTTTTTCAGACTTTTTCCAATTTTATACGCCATTTTTTATTAAACCTTATTTTTTTTTAAATTTTCAGACCCAGCTTAAACTTATATTCACGTTCTTTTATAGATTAAACCTTTTAATAAGATTCTCTACGTCACGAGAAATTGTTTTAGTGTAAAACGGCCAATTCGAACAACTTCAGACTCATTTCGCTACACATAAAGAGAGATTAGGTAATTTGTTACAAGCTCCTTTCTATGCAGTCTTTGTATGAAAATATTAACCAAACGGTTCCAGAGTAATTTATTAGCTTAATAAAGAATTGATTAGAACGATTTGTATGTGATTGTTTGTCTGAACGGGAAAATATATTTATTACATTTATCGTAGTCAAATAGTAATATTATATTAAAATAAAAAAAAATAAAGAAATTAATTTCCAAAAATAAAAACATAGCGTTAGAGATGTCTCTTCTTAATTTAGCATTGCTTAAAAACTTCTACTACCTTTGATAATTCAATTAATTTGTCAAATTTCTACAAATCTAAAATGTCTCTAAAATCTTTGTCTTGCTCAGTGTACACGATTGTTGTAAGAACAGTGGTCTCTAGCGGAATTAAAGCGTTCTCAAGGCAACTGTACCAATTCATTGGGATTGAACTAATGTGAGAAACAGAGCTGTAGCTACCCAGTTCCGTCCTAAACGAGCTTCACGAATGTTTGCCTAAATCTGACAGCTGCAGCTAATTCGAACCAAATAATCTGGCGCAATACTGGAATTAGGCGTAGAAACCATTACCCGATATATTGATTTATTTAGTGCTTCAAAACGACCGGCTCGGGTCCAACAATTCGTTATACTGTATCCATTTATTTGTAACAATTCTAAACTTATACGATTAGTTTCTAAAGTTCTCAACATATGGTGTATAAGCCTATAGTTTTTATTGAATTTTGCGCACAATCGAAGCTACTTTGTCTGCTTATTTCAAATACTTTGAGAATGC